GTGTTAGTTTGGAGAATGTGCTGTGCATGTTTATTAGTTTGGAGAATGTGCCGTGCGTCGGGGGCTGGAGAATGAGTAGCTTGGAGTGTGTCACCAGAGCCCACAAGTGTTGTCTTGCTGAGCAGTGCAACGTGAACAAGCAGAAGGCTGCAGACGTATGAAAGTTGTTTTGACTTGCTTCGGTGCAGATTTGAAGTTACAACCTAGCCGCAGCCGGCTTCTTCTGAACCATCGCGGCTGCAGCTGGCTTCTTCTGAGCCTTGGCGCCCTTGCGCTTGCGCGCGGTTTTGCGAACAACAGCATTTTTGCTGCGGCCAATATTGAGTGGCACATCCGCAGGTTGTCGCTGTAAAGCTTACATTTCTCTCGGCAACCCAGAACTTCTGGGAATGCGGTCTCAAGCCGTTGAAGAAAAAGTTGAATCCATCCAGGCATTAAAGACCTCAGGAAGAATGGTGCGCACCTCGGCGCACCGTTCATTCACAGCTCCGGTCCAGTACTGTATGGAGCACTTGTGGTTAGGACCATGGAAAGCATCTACCACATAATGCTTGATATCACTGAAGGACTCAAGATGGTTCCTTTCGACATATCTTTCGAAATGGCATGCATCATCGTGAAGAAACAGATCGACCTTCATCCCTGGGAGCTTGAGAGCCTTCTCGAGCAACCTTGTCTTGTCCTCGTTGATTCATTTTGAAGATGTGGTAGCGGTGGTGCTGCTTCGTCGTTGTTGTTGTTGGTGGTGGTGGTGGGAGGGCTTGTTTCGTATCAAAACAAGTGTTTCGAAACACGGCTCTTGCGACATTGGCTAATGCAGTGCTAGCACAGACTACGGAAGCGCACAGCACAGCAGGGGCACCTTGTTTTGATGCTGCACCTCTCGAACATTAGTGAAGGAAGACACGCGACCGCATTCTTAATCTATGAGTCTGTCTCTGCCCGGGCCCATTCCAACCGTGCCCTGTTCATGGCCGTCATGACATCTTCTGCGATACGGATACGCTTGGCATCTGTGCGTGCTGCGTCACACCAGTGGTTGTTGCAGCGCTGCTTCTGAAATTGCCTGTGTCACCGGTGGTTCTGGCAGCGCTTCGTCTGAAGAAGAGTCCAGGATGATGAGCTCGAGTTACCTGCACATGCCTTGTCTTTCGCTTGCTCGGACTCTGAGGAAAACTCCGATGAGTTCGGGTCATCTGCGCCATCCGTGTGTTTCGCCGGCTCGGGTGGAGCGTCTAAGACGGCCTCGGGGGTCGGCGGCGTCGGACATGGACTCGACTGGGTCGTCCTGGTTAAGATCCTCATGGCAAGCACGGCGTTGGGCTCTGAGACGTCAGACTTCTTGTCCTGGATAGCCAAGGCCTTCGCGTTGGTAGTACCGGCAGGTTTGGCGAGCATCTCCGCGAGTTTGCGTTCAGCACCAAGCTCCTTTCACCAGAGATGCCGGTGTTCTGGAATCGCAGCTTGATTTGGGTCTGATTGATGATCGTCGCCAACCTGCGATTGTCTAGGGGTAGGCGAAAAAGGATGTGGTTTGAGGCTACCGTCTTGGATCATCGCCATAATCTTTGCGCGAATGTCGGCCTTTTCTGAAGTATGCGAGGATGGATGTGACGAAGTCGGCGGTTGGACGATTGATGGAGTGAGACTGAAGTCGGCTCNNCGACCATTCTGGAAGATAACGGTGCCCTCCACAGCGATTTTCTTCGATGTGACGACAGGACTAGCTAGCAGCTACGCCAAACGCAAATCTAGAAACCAAAACGCTGCGAGACATCAACACATCCAGACTGCACAAACAGATTAAAGATGGTTGCGGATGCTGGTGTAGGTGGTGGAGGTGGGTGGGGATGTTTTTTTTAACCCCCGATGTTTCGAAACAACCCTTGTTACGACAAATCAGGCTTACACTATCAAGAAAGAGCTTACTGTACGCCATACCGTCGTGATACTGCTAACCTGAAGTATCCCATACCTGAGTACACCACAACTCAAACATCCGGCGCCTGAATACCTGAAAAACTCCACCTCACAACAGTCCTTTCTGATATATATATATATATATATTTATTTATTTATTTATATTTATGTATTTATTTATTTGTTTATTTATTTATATTTATATATATATATACATACATATATACTTTATGTGTATATATATATATATATGAATGTGTATATATACATATATATATATATAGGCTCTAACTTTCAACCACCCACCTTCGCTGCTGACTTCAGGCTGCAACATGGACCCGTGCCCATGGAAGGGGTTAGGGTGTTGTAGGGTGCTGTTAGGGTTGCGTAGGGTTTTTATGGGGTTGTATAGGGCTTTCTAGTGTCTTATCCCTAAGGCTCCTTTAAGGGGAGTACCATAAGGGTTGCAAAATAAAGGGCGGAAAAAAGGGGTCTGTAATCTGGCGTGGTCAAGGCCGTGGCTAACATCTAACACTGTAGTGAGCTTTAGGTATCTTGGTATATGCGTTATGGTTTAGGTATCTTGGTACTTGTGCCATGGTGCAGGCATGATGGTACATCTAAAGCCTCTTCACATGATACAATGCAGTGTTGAAGAGCTGACACGGGCTCTTGAGCTCGGCACCTGAATGCTTCTCTCAACTTGCTGCTGCTACTTTTTGAACCCTTGGAAAGACCTGCGAGCAGACCGCGCATGGCATGTGCCTGTGTGTCAATCTCAGTGTTCTGGCAATTATCCTTAATATGTACTTGTCTTTCGAAACTTGTTGTTGTGAGTCCTCTCATGTCTCAATCAGCGCGCAGAAGCAACAAATTGAGCGTGGCAGCTGCCTGCATGTCCTCAAAGGTCCAGTAGCTGTGATCACCTCGCTGATTCGCTGTGCATGTGGATCTACATGGCTTGCACACCTCACAGCTCGGGCCCAAACCAATTATCGCGAACTTGTGCGCGAATCGCCTGCACTGCAAGGTCACTTGTACATTGGCAAGCGGTCAGCGTCTTTGCAAACATCCGCCAGGACATGTCACTTATCGCCTTCGCTCACAACACAACTAATACTCCGACTCCGACTAATGCCGCTGCTAGCAATATGATTGCTGTGAACTTCTAGTTTATTATTATTATTAGTACTACTACTACTACTACTACTACTACTGCTACTATTTCGACTAATGCTGCTGCAATACGATTACTGTGAACTTCTAGTATTACTATCACTGTTACTATCATTATTATTACTACTACTACTACTACTACTCCTAGTACTACTGCTACTCCTCCCCCTCCTCCTGCTCCTCCTGCTGCTGCTGCTGCTGCTACTACTACTACTACTGCTACTACTACTACTACTACTACTACTTCTTCCAGTACCACTGCGACAACGACAACTACTTGTAGCACTAGTATGTTACTGCTTGCGCTGCTGCTGCCACTCCCAGTATTGCTGCTACTGCTGCCAGCACTGTTTCTGCTTCTGCCACTGCTACCAACATACCGCTGAAACAACTATTGCTCTGCCTCCTCCTCCTACTACCACTACCAC